ATCCCTGGGCCACCAACCCTTGGAATTTAGTCCAAGATGGAGGTACAGAGGCAGCTGGAAGGCAATAAAAGAGCTGTAGAATCAAAATGATGTTTGCAGCCGGATACCGATACATGCAGAGAGTTCATCTTACAACAAATTCATAACCTGGAAATCGATTCCCCAGATTGTCACACATTCCCCAAATCGTCAAAGCTGGGGTGAATACCGAGGAAGAGGAGTTAGAGAGCAATACCCGGCAGTTAGCCTGGTCATTTTGGAGCACAGGTGCCTGGCAGGTGCCTGGAGTTTGAATTTGATTAGTCGATAGTTAATTTGTCTTATTTCTATTGGAATAAGGGTGGATGATTCAAATATCAACTGGGATCAGCGGGAGTATAGAGCTGCATGGAATGATCCCCTGCCTTCCATGGGAGTGTCTCTGCGCAGGGAGCTGGCTGGGGAATGAGTTACACAGGGATAGTCCTACCAGAGCCGGCTCTAACTTTTTTGCTGCACCAAGCAGCAAAAAAAAGCGCCGCCCCCCCCGCGCCCCTCCCCGCCGAGTGCTGCGCCGCCGGAACCCCCCCCTGAGCGGCGCGCCCCGCGCCGCCCTCCCACCGAGCGCCGCGCCATGCCACCCCCCCAAGCGCCGAGTCCCATGCCGCCCCCCCCCAGCGCCGCGCCGCCGGAGCCCGCCCCCCTCCCTCCCCCCCCCCCGGGCCCCCCCCCCCCCCCCGCGGAATGCCGCGCCGCGCTGCGCTGCCCCCCACCACTCCAAGATTGGCCGCCCCTTACCAGGCGCCGCCCCAAGCATGTGCTTGGTTGCCTGGTGCCTGGAGCCGGCTCTGAGTCCTACATTGGTGCTACTATTATCCCCCTCCCCCCCCCACCATTTCTCCGGGCCATTGAATTTTTACTCAGCATATTTACAGGGAAAGTGCGGAGGCCGCGAGGCGTCCCCGACACTAATTCTTTACAGAAGAGAAAATAACACTCGCAGGTGACACCGCGGGAAACTTGTCACCAAAACTGAAATTACTTGTCAGAGGCATTTTTAGAACAAAGAAATCAGACCATAATGGGCCTGTTCCTGACCCCATTTAAGTCAACAGGACTTTCCAAACTGATTCCACTGGGAGCAGGTTGGGCCCCACCCATGTGACCCATTGTTGTTCTTTACAACTGCACATAACCCTGGGGATCCACTCTAAGGAAGGACTCCGCTCTGGGTGGTGGTGGGGAAGAATTAGCCAGTGACCTACCAGGTCCTTTCCCGTTCTAAGTTCTTTGATTCTGGGATCTAGGGAAATCTCCATCCTAAGAACAGGGTCTCCCAGGCTGGGTGCTGTAGGGACTTAAGTGACCGTCTCCATTGCCTCTGCACTGGTGGTCTCTCCATCTTCTCTGGAATCTGTCTTCTCTTCAAAAACCCTCTGGAGTGCAACCTTGATGGAGCCACAGAATCGCCGCTTCCCATAGCTCCCGACTAGAAAGTAAATAAATGGGTTGATGCTGCTGCTTGCAGAGGTCAGCATGTGAAATATCTCACTGGAATCGATTATGTTCTGATAAAAGAGGAAGATCTGGACACTCTGAGGGACAGTGAAGAGGAGGAAGAAGAGGACGGTGAGCAGGATAACAGCATAAAGCTTCCCTGGCTGATGTCGCTGTGAGCTATGTCGGACCTTGATGAACAGGGTCAAACTGGACAGAACCATGATGGGAGTGAATATCAGGACATTCAGAAAACACATGGGTAGGAAGGATATGACACAGAATTCACCTGAAAGAACAATACAAAAAACACCCACTGAACAGGAGAACAGCATGGAGAGAGCCCAGAGCAGGGCGCAGACAATGGCAGACAAGTGTCTTGGCCGGCGGCATCGGTGCCAGATGGGGTAGAGGACTGAGAGACACCTCTCAGTGCTGATTGCCGTCAGGAGGTACAGGCTGGTGATGTACGTCAACAGAGCAGGCATTTGAAATAGCAACAATAAGTAAATAAAAACATCATTCACACAAAATGAATATTCCACCACACAAACTATGAGATAAGCAGTCGAGCAGAGCAGGAAGAAAGTGTCGGAGACGGCCAGGTTGAGGATGTAGACGGTGAAGGGGTTCCTCTTAATGTGGAAGCTGAGGAACCAGAGCACGATCCCATTCCCCACCAGCCCGAACAGGCAGATGAGCAAAGTGATGATGTCGATGGTCCCTGGTGGTGCATCACACAGTAGGCATCCAGTCTCGTTATATTCCACCCCGCTTGTTGGGGGAAGAGACACTGTGCTCAGCTCGGCCATCATGAAACAGAGGTTTCCTGCAGGATGCCAGTCTCTCCCTCTCCCCCTCTCTCACACACACCTGTTAGCAGAGAGCAGACAGAGGGGAATCAGTGACTTGGACATCCCCAGCGCTGTGTTTCACCGGTCGTTCCAGCCCCTCCCCAGCCCCCTGGCCGGGTAGAGCCAGATCCCAATGAGTGGGAGTGAGAAATATCCGGAGAGATAATGGCCATGGGGGATGCTAGGGACAGGGAGAGACCTGGAGAAAGGCTGATGGGTGGGGAGCATCCTGGACTGACAGCAAGTGACAGAAACAGAATTGAACACAGGGGCTGAGCTGGACAGACAGACAAGGACAGAGAAACAGAAATTGGACAGGATGTTGCCCATGTAGGGACAAGGAACAGCACTGGGGATGGGGTGGGGCCGGGGGAAGTGGATAGTGGGAGAGAGAGAGAACAACCGTGTCTAATTAATAGTGGCAAAGAGCTTTGAATCCATCCAGCAGTTCCTCACCTTCTTTCCTCCCTGGGGCCTGAACCGAGTGTTTACAGGAGCCGGGCTGGGCCAGATCCACTTCAGAATCTCAGTGTCTCACGGTCACTAACTGCAATTCTCCAGATTGGATCTTCTTGGGAAAGTTTTCCAAGTAATAATCTGTTATCCAGACGTGGAGAATGTCCCTGCC